AACTGGAACCTACTTCAGGGGTTTAAGAAGAAGAGATTGGATTTATACCCCACTCTTCACTACTCAAAGGTGTCTCAGAGCTGCTTACAAACTCCTTTCCCTTCCCCTCCCCACAACAGACACCCTGTGAGGTAGGTGGGGCTGAGAGAGCTCTTGACAGAAACTGCTCTTTTTCAGGAACAGCTCTTATCAGAGCTACGGCTTGCCCAAGGTCATCCAGCCAGGTGCAAGTGGAGGAGTGGGGAATCAAACCCGGTTCTCCCAGATTAGAGTCCGTGCTCCTCACCACTGCACCAAACTGGTGAAGAGTCCCCTAATTACACTGCCTGCCTGGGACACAAAAAAACAGAGTAGGAGCAGGGTATCCCATAGTATTTAATTCCTGGGTTGCATATGGCTGGATAAATCACCAGTTATGCAGGCCTTGCCCCAGTTATCCCAAAGTGATAATTTTGCCAAGATGATGATATCCCGTTATCTGCCACAACTCATCTGATTTGATACACAGCAATAATTCCTATCAAGAAACAAATTTCTCCCCTTATTAGTGAATTAATCTTCTTTAACATAAGGTGCATACCGTAGAATACAACAGAGACAGGTTTTTAATCAGTCGAAGATGGGCTTCATTTGTAACATTGTTCCTTATCGGCCTTGTTAACCAAGCATGTTACTTAATTAACTTTTTTCCCCCCTCGGCGGCGGCGGGGGATAATCCCCCTGCGTCTTATTCCAGAATGCAGAAGTTAAAAGGTTGTGTCTTTTCTCCGAATGGTTATTTCAGGACACACTTCCCTTAGCTTCGCCGGGAACAGTTACATCAAATACCGGGTTTCTGAAAATAGCAAGAAGGAGGAATTCAAGTTGGCCCTGCGTCTGCGGACTCTGCAGAGCAACGGGATTATCATGTACACTCGAGCAAATCCCTGTATAATTCTGAAGGTAATTAAAATAAGTTTATCTTTCCCCGCAGTTATTTTTCTTGATTATATGCTTCCCTCTCATCAGTTCTCGTTTTAGCTGGGGATGCAGAAAGTCAAGCGTGCTTCGTTTGGAGGATAATGAGGAAAGAAACCGCCATTTCAGCAACAATGGGGGAAGGATCTCATTGTTCCTGATAGCAGTATTTCTATTAAAATAACCTCCTGTGGCTATTATGTGCAATAGGGAGACTGGCAATGTTCCCTCTAAGCTATGGAGTCCTGTGAGCAAAAATTGTACCTTGTGAGCTACTGGCATTAAGGTTGTGAGCAGGTGATTTGGCTACTGCATAAATTAGTTTGCTCTGGAGCCATCCTTCATGAGCTAAGGCAAAAAGTGTGTGAGCCGGAGGCTGAAAAACTGTGAGCTAGCTCACACTGACTCAGCTTAGAGGGAACACTAGAGACTGGGCGACTTGCATGTTGTCAAGATCTGTTGGGTTACATGTAAAAAAAAAAATCAATTGCCTTGGAAGCACAGAACGTTTACACAGTAGCCTCGATCCTCCATGTTTCCCCGTTAAGGGGGAAATGCTGTTCAAACAAATTACAAAGATGACCTGATTCCAGTGGTAACACAAGAAAGAAATTTTACTTACAAAAATATAAGCACATCTGACGTGACATATGCATGTAGGTGCATTTAACTTACTGTGAACAGATTAATTTCAAAAAAGGTTAACTTGCAACAGCTCCAAGCCCAGGTGAGTGAGAGAAGAAGAGAGGCCCTATAGAAGATGAAAACAGAAAGGCGAGCAAGGGCCAGAGAGGATCAAGGTCTAACCGATGAGAGGGCGGGGCCAACTGCCAAATGTACCCCAGAGAGAGAATTCTCTTAACCCTTTCCCTCCCACATCCTCTTGCATGCAGAGTTACAAACTCTGCTTAGATGGCCTTTGTTTAAAAAGGTTTGCGCTAGACTCTTGTCACCCTAAAGTGGGGAGTGCGGCCCCATTAATTCTGCTGGACTTCTCAGTGGCTTCTGATACCATTGCTCGTGGTTTCCTTCTGGACCACCTTTTGAGGCTGAGACTAGGAGGCACTGTTCCGTGGTGGTGTCAATTCTACCTTGAAGGTGGGTTTCAGGTTGTAGTCCTGGGGAACTGCAGTTCTGCGCCTTGGCCTCTGGCCTAGGGGGTCCCACGAGGTTCTATTTTGTTCCCCGGGCTTTTCAGCCGCTCAGCAAAGCTTCCGGAAATTTGGGCTGAGCTGCTACCAATATCAGGATGTCACTTCGTTCTAACGCTTCCAGCAAATACCAGAAAGGCTGTTGAACCCATGAACAAGTCCCTGGAGACAGTTTTAGGATGGATGTTGTCTAACAAACGGAAATTTAAACCTCTCAAAACAAGAGCTGCGCAGGGGGGGCAGGTCTGACCCAGGAATTGGGATATCTCTTGTTGTCCTTCCCCTAAAAGACCAGGCTTGGGGATGCAGCTGGAGTTGGGGTCCACCTGTTGGCTAAATGGGTGGCCGCAGTGGCCAGGGGTGCCTTTCTCTGGCTGGTGAGCCAGATGCTACCCTTGCTGGGCTGGAAAGATCTTGCCACTGTGGTGCATGCCCTGGTAACATCTAGATCGGGGTGGCCAAACTTGCTTAACGTAAGAGCCACACAGACTAAACATTGGATGTTTGACAGCCACATGACGTGAACAAATATCACAGACATTTTTTTACTGAATACTATGCAACTTTGGTTTTTATTAAAATTAAACAAGACTGCCAAAAATAAAAACAAAAGGGATAAAAATAGATATTGATGATGATGTTTATTTGTCCAATGATATTTGTAGGCTTGGAGGGGGGCTTTGAGAATGCATTTAAAGCTAAAGTTGCTTTCTTTCTCTGCTCCCCTCTGCCTCAAGCCTACCCAGGGAGGGAAACACTGGCTGGGGAAGGGAAGACTGATGGGGGAGGCCGGGAGCCGCACAATATGTGTGAAAGAGCCGCGTGTGGCGCCTGAGCCACAGTTTGGCCACCCCGATCTAGATTTATTTAATGTATTCATTTATTTTTCAAATGTATGTTCCGCCCTCCCCGCGAATGAGCTCAGGGTGGATCACAACAAATAATTAGGCCATTTGGCATCACAAAAAGACAATAATAAAAAGTTCATTAAAACGTTAAAACAAGAAATTTAAAAACGGATCGGACCAAAGATTGCACAGTCTCCGATACTGGTGCCGCTGGATTCTAAATGTGTTTAATCCGGGCCATGTAAAAATGGTGTCTTCAGTGGGGGAGGCTATTTATTCTGTACATCCGCCAGTTTGGTGTAGTGGTTAAGTGTGCGGACTCTAATCTGGGAGAACCGGGTTTGATTCCCCACTCCTCCACTTGCACCTGTATGTCGGTTGGGCCACCCTGCTGCTCGTGGAAAGCCCCCCCCCGTCCCCCACCAGTTGCCAGAAGGGACAAACAAAACAAAAAGTCTTCTCCTGCTAGCAGAAGGCAACGACACAAGTAAATGGACAAATCTCCCTGGGGAGGGAGTTCCAAAGTTTTAGTGCTACAAGCAACAAGGCCCTTTCTTGGGTGGCTACTTGTGTAGCCTCAGATGGGTTGGACACCAAAAGCAGGGCCTCTGAAGATGACCGGAGTGGACAGGTAGGTTTATCAGGGAGAAGACAGAATGTTGACTGGAGTGATTTACAGGAACACTATAATTCCAGTCTTGAACTACACTGGCTCCCAGCTTTCTTCTGGGCTCAATTCAAAGTGGTGGTATTGACCTTTAAAGCCCTCTATGGCTTGGGGACAGCATACTTTAAAGGTCAATACCACCACTTTGAATTGAGCCCAGAAGAAAGCTGGGAGCCAGTGTAGTTCAAGACTGGAATTATAGTGTTCCTGTAAATCACTCCAGTCAACATTCTGTCTTCTCCCTGATAAACCTACCTGTCCACTCCGGTCATCTTCAGAGGCCCTGCTTTTGGTGTCCAACCCATCTGAGGCTACACAAGTAGCCACCCAAGAAAGGGCCTTGTTGCTTGTAGCACCAAAACTTTGGAACTCCCTCCCCAGGGAGATTTGTCCATTTACTTGTGTCGTTGCCTTCTGCTAGCAGGAGAAGACTTTTTGTTTTGTTTGTCCCTTCTGGCAACTGGTGGGGGACGGGGGGGGGCTTTCCACGAGCAGCAGGGTGGCCCAACCGACATACAGAGATGTGTCTACGTCACTGCCCATGTGATTCGGAGGTGATGTCATCATGTCTGGGGCGATGCTCTGGTATTTGGGGGGGAAATCTATGGTAAACTTGGCTTCTACCATAGAGTTTTTGCCCAGATACCAGAGTGTCACCCCAACATCCCAGATAAGATGACATCACTTCCAGGTCAAGTGGGCAATGACATAGACGTGCCGCTATACATCAGATAGTTCTCCCTCTTTTTCAGGGTAAGTTTCCCCCACCAGCCAGCTGATTGGGGGTAGGGAGGTGGGACTGGCAGCAGGGGACCCCCACCTCCACAGGAGGTGTGACAACCCTAGTGATGTGTTCATATGTCTTTACTGAATTGTTTTATATATAAATATAAGGCAGCACAGAAACCCGAGCCATAGACAGCGTATTGGTGTCGATATACTTGGGAGACTCCCTGAGTATACAGAAAGAACTATTCTTTCATAGCTTTTTTTAAAAAGGATATTCTCTGCCCTCGCTATGACTGATCATGCTCAGAGGCCTGTAGAGTAGGCCAGGAATGTTGAGGACAGTTTGATCATCAGTTAAAGGGGGGGAAAGAAAGAAGTGGAAATTTGCCTGTTCGAGTTTGTAAGAGTTTATTTAATCCGGGGGTGGAGGTTATGGGTCAGGAGGAAATTTCCCAATTGGTTACTTCCGTGACTTGTGATTCCTCATAGGGCCCTCACTTACCATCATTATCCTGTAAGTCATTGACTTTTTGAAATCCAGGCCGGTAATCACATTCTTTAGCAACAAAGGAAGCAACTTTTTCAGGCCATAAAACAAATATGACAGATCTCCCCAGCTATTCCAGAACCGCAAATACTAAATCTTAAATCGCAGGGTATGTTTTGATAGCTCCCCTCAAGAATTGTGGAAGTATTATGTTAAATATAAGAAGGGTAAGTTAATTACATGGTGCAAAGCTAGTGATGTCAGTTCTCAGACCCACATTTAAATTTGGCATACCAAGAACCAGCCTTGAAATTGGCCAGAAGGAGCAAGACATAAACATCTATTACCCTTTTTTTGAATTCAGGCTTGGCCATGGCTGCCCTGAAATTAGAAAAATAATCCAACACACGAAAAAAATGTACAGTTGGTTCATCTACCTAACTGTGCTGCTGTAATTTTCAAACCAAATTGGCTCTGCTCTAATAAACTGATTTTTGGAAGTCTGTTATCAGCCAAAAATAATAACTTAATCCAATAATTAAATAAGTAGAGTGAGACTTTCTGTTGAAAAGGTAATAGGCTAGTCTTGGCAGCCCTCAAAAAATATTTTAAGCATGGACCTCAGGCTTGGTACGCAAAATATCGTTCGTTTTAGCATATCAAGGAGAAGGCCACCTGTTAACTTCCCTTGTGAAGAGAAATTTTCTCGGGGTGCCTTTAAAATGAACAGTCTCTCCCCCCCCCCATATATACTGCCTGTACTGAGCTGGGACTTGAACCTGGATGTCTCAGATCCTAGGCCAACAGGTCTACCCACTATAAAACCTCTCACATGTTCTTGTAAGTATCGCTGGTCTCCAAACAATACTTCTGTTGCTGGGCTTTATCATTTCAGACTGATATGGGGGTACCAAATGCTTGAAAGCTCCCTCCCTCGCTTGAAATATTCCTTCAGGTTCAAAACTGAGCATATCAGAGGCAACCTTTCTTCCTTAGCATTCAGGCTTTCAGTCTGAGAGCCAGTTTGGTGTAGTGGTTAAGTGCGCAGACTCTAATCTGGGAGAATCGGATTTGATTCTCCACTCCTCCACATGCAACCGCTG